CACACACACAAACACACACACACACACACACAAACACACACACACACACGCACACGCACGCACGCACACACACACACATATGCACGCACACACGTACACACCCACATACATACACACACAATCGCACACATACTCACGCACTTAGGCACGCACCCCTCCCCCCCACACACACACACAATTGCAAACAGAGGCCCCTGCTCGCCCCGCAATCAGCACTCTGCCCACCCGCGCGGTGGCAGCCCTTTGAGCTGTCTTTGCTGAGGGCCACAATTTTGTCAATGTACTCTTCAGAATGCACCCGCGCCAACTCAGCACGCGCAGCCGGTCGCGCGCGCACGCGCCGCAGGCGGTCGAGCGTGCCCGTGAAGTCGAGCAGGTTGTTCAGGCGACGCTTGGACTCTGCGGGGTTCGGGTGTGTGAGCATCGGCATCAGATCGCGAGTCAGCCCGCCCCGCCGATCACCAGCCTGGTGGCTCGAGAAAATGCACAGCAGGCAGTGCTGCGCGGGCGCCCGTGCATTCACCGCAGACCATCGGCCGGCCTCTGCTGGTCCCTGCCGCCGGCTGGCGTGCTGTGTGCTTGGATTAGGGCAGGCCTGCAGCCTCAACGCGCTGCCCCTTCTGAACATCTGCACTCATGCTGCACGCCACAACCCCGCCCTCAGCTCCTCGTTGCAAGCCAGTGTGAGCCTCATCAAACGCAGGCATGCCGCACGCCGCCCCTGCTGTGCGCCCCCGCCCTCCAAAAATACCCTGGCCCGCCTCACACCTGCAGATTCAAAGTGGGGTGTCGGCTGCAGGCCCTTGCGGACGTTCTGGTTGTAGCCCGCCTCGTGCCACATGAATGCCTGCGCCGCAAAGGGGGTCAACTAGGGTCAACGGACGGCCCCCATGGCGCCGGCGGGTGGCGCCGTTGCTGGGGGACGCCATTTGCGCCCGCCGCGCGTGCAGCCCGCTGCCGAGCTGAGCTCACCTCCTCAAAGCAATAGGCGAGGCCCGACATGGTGCTGGCTGCGACTCTTGAGGGGGGCTGGAGGATCCCTCTGTTGTGTGCAGCAGCGGAGCACACAAATGCAGCGGCAGCGGCGCGCCACCGAGTGTGCAGGTAGCGCCGGGCTCAGGTGTCGTCCTTGCCCGTCGATTACGTATCACTATGCCCTTTCTGTACGTGACGCAGACTGTGTGATCCGAGCGGCGGATGGTCAGGGGCAGAACCGTCCCGTGTGTCAAGCAAGTTCAGTTGTTCAGTTCGTGAAATGCATTGATATCGCAATGCTAGGCCAGAAATATATATTATTTTGCAAAAGTGTGTCAGGGATGCCCGTGCTTGCCTTTACCAACGGTGGTGTGGCAAGTGTGATGTATTATCAATGTTCAGGCGGTGTACCTGACCATCTTGGAGCCTATTGCGAACTCCCACGATTGCATGTGCTCAATTTGGCACTGGCGCTGTGCGCACCTGCACCCAGACATGAAGACACTGGCGTGCCGAGGTTGTGCTCTCCTCTGCGGGGCCTCTGTTTGTGAGCTGCGGCTCACCCCTGCGCAGGAGCAAGTGCGGTAGATGAGGGGCGAGACTTTCGCGAAAATGAGACGAGCGCATGTGAAGCTCCGTGGACATGCATAGTGACAATCTCAATCACGCCTGCTCAGGCTAGGGGAGGTGCCAGGCGAGGGGGTCCGGCGTGACCGGTGGGCAGCAGCGTGGGCAGCCGCACTACCATCATACTGTCACACGCATAGCTAGAACATCCTGATCGCTTGTGCATACGCTAACCTTGAAGCGCATGACGTCGTGCACAAACATGTAGCAGCTGCTTTTTGCCCATTCCTTCAAGGCAATAGCACGGGGCCTAAGGTTACCAAACACTTGGAATGCTGGCCCTTCCTGGCCCGGATTGCGCACTCAGCATCTTCGGTGGCTGCCAGTGAGACTCACGCAGGCTGGCTAGTGTAACCACAGCAGGACGAGGCAGTCTCGTTTGCAGACACCCCGTGCGGTGCTGCGCCGGGGACCGCACTGCGTCACAGCCGGGCAGCAAACACTTGCAACCGCTTGCTACCCCAGGGATAATTCAGTCTTTGTCAAGTCAAATAGCTCAAGCCAACCTTACAAATCTTTCACTTTGCCAATCAAAAACGGCATTGAATGTGTGTTCACAATGCCGGAAGGGTGCTACCTACGAATGGGACTCGTGTTGAAACATTATGTTGGTCGGGTGTGACTGTGGGCCGGGTGGGAAAGAGGATTGTAAGACTGGCGCGGTCAACGTGCAGTCAAACCAGCATGGTTGCGGTGACGTGGTGCTTGTCAGCGCCATGTTGCTGCCGCAGCTCAAGTTGCAGTGAAGGTGTGAAGCCTCTCATCCCCCTCAACCCCACGTTGTGTGAGCCCTCGTAGGATGAGTTGAACACATCAATCTTCCACGCCATGCAGGCATGGAGGTTGCGGTGCTACACTATGTGTGTAAATCTTGTGGTGCACGCTTTGCACACAATTTGCAAATTCAACAAGGCGTGCACCGTGTGCAGCGTGTGCGCCTGCCAGCCAGGCGCGCAACCGTCGAGAAAGTGTTTGCAAAAAATATGTAACAAGGAAGGCGTCGAGGAGGCGAACACCGATCAGTTAGCTCTTGATGCCTTTCACGTATGACCACGCCAAGTCATAGGGCGCCCCGACGTAGGGGATGTCTGCGAATGGGGCCACGAAAGGAGTTTAGGGGCGCAATCAATACAGATACCAATGCAACGGCGGCCGGGTGAGGACCTCCCCCACACGCACCTCAATCAAACCCTATTGACCGCTGGACGGCACCGCAGCTGGGCCATGCTGGTGTGAGCAGCAAAGGCGTGCAAGCGTCGGTCAACCCACCGCACGTGTGCCCGGCGTCCGTGATGCCGCAGATTGCGACGTTGGCCTTGCCGCTGCCTGAAAAGTACTCGCACCTGAATGGGGAGAGGCGTTAAAATCCAGGTGTCCAAGCACATAATTGGGTGAGCACACAAGGCATCGACCCCCAAGCGATTTCATGCTCAGCACGGTCAGGCGCGCCCAGGTCCTGTGGGGGAACCCAAATCAATGTTGTGTGATATGAAGCGCATACGGAGACCGACAGCACACCGCAACCCTCAACGCGTGCGGTCGCACCAACGCCCCGACCATGCTCACTTGTACTCCCCGCCCCTGTAATCCTTGCGCGTCGACCTGTGCAAACCGTACTTGTCCCGCCAGAACCCCGCCGCGGCCTGCGTGCTCATGAAAGGCACGTAATCCAGCACCACGCTCGACGCCCAAGGCAGGTGCTCGTCCTTCATCCCGTGGACAAGCAGCACATTGGTCCGGCCCTTTGGCGTGCAGGCCTTCGCCATTGCGTCGGGGATGCCGCCGATGACGTCGATCGCGACCGCCACCTTGTCGGCGACAACCTTGGACCTGCACAACGCCGCGTGCACGAGGATGCCGCCGGCGGACTTGCCGCTCAGGTACACGCGCTTGGGGTCGGCAGAAAAGCGGCCGGGGAGGGAGGAGACGAGTTGCTCTAGGAAGGCGATGTCGTCGGTGTGCTTGTCGATGCATACGCCGACGCTGCATGTCCTGGGGCGGCGGGTTGAACGGGTGTAGTAAAGGGTGGTAGATCGTCAAGTGGTTTGTGCTTGCGGGTTGTGAACGTGTCTTTCGCAGCTTTGACGTGGCCAAAACGGCAGCTGAGCAACTCGCAGCGCCGGACGCGTTGGTCATGTGCCACACAGGCGGTGCCATTTGCACCAGTGAGCAGGGATGCTGCGTCCTCGCAGAATGACCGGCAAGCTCCATGCAGCCTGCGTGAGAGAAACAGCGACAGCGCGCTGCGCATCGCACAACGGGCGGCCGAGCGCGCACCAGTAGCCGTTGTTGAAAAATTGCCGGGTGTTGGGGTCCCCGAGGGACTGGGGGTAGACAATTATCGCGCCCTCCTGGTGTGGCTTGCCATTGGCGAGCTTGTCCCAGAGCGCCGACGCGTCTGCGGCCTGGACGGGCCACCCCTTCACCTGAGAGCCTATGTCACCCATCGACCTGTGGAGCAGGATTGTTCGGCAGGGGGATGCAGGGTTGGGTAGGGTTCAGGGAAGGGTTGTCCACTCTGGTGTTGGGATGGGCAAAATCTGTGAACGCCATGGCGTCGGCTGCTTGGTGGCAGTCGGGCGGCCTTCCATAAAGTTGGCCGCTGCTGTTGGTTTTGGGGAGCTGCTCACCTCCAGAACACGCCGTGCAAATGGATCCTTTGGGCGCGTGCAGGGGCGCAGGGTGTGTGGTATGCATTTGCTTAGAAAGCGACCGCATTGTCAAGGCGCTGCGGTTGCAACAAAGCTGCAAGCACAAGTGCGGGCAGCTTGACCGGAAGCTGAGGAGGCGCGCCGTGAGAGGCGCGCGAGGCAGCTGCTGCTGGCACCCGGTTTGCAATGCATCATGTAGGGCTGCTGGGTTCCCGATCGCAGCTTTTTGGCTTTCCAACACACCACATTGGAGCCGAGTCGGAGGGCTCGTAGTTGGCTGGCAGGTACACATTTGCGGTCCTGCAACAAGTCACAAGCAGTGCGATTGCAGGTGGGAGTGATCACAGGTGGTGGAACACGGCGCAAACGGTCTCATAGGCGTCCGTCGCGAGCGGCCGCACAGCCTTGCCGGACAGCTGTGGCCGCACCGGCCAACAGCCGGGCGGGGCAGGTGGCCACCTACCGCTGCTTCCCCTGGACTTGAAAGGACACCTTGCAGGTCGGCAGCAGCGGCTGCGGCGGCGTCTCCCACCGCCCTCCGGCCTTCAGGCACCAGCAGGGCAGGTCGCCCCGCTTGCATGCGAGCGCTGGGTGGGCGCAGACCAGCAGCGCCAACAGCAGCAGCAGGTGCAGCGCTCGGCCAGCGCCTACCCGGCCGCGTCGGGCGTCGTCCATTGATTATTTGAATGTATCTATGTAAATTGCTGCACCATAACGCCAAGAGACCTCCTGGGACCTGCAACTAGCTGCGACAACGCAAAGTGCGGGTGACTGCGGGTTAATCGGTCGTTGAGTAGGCGCGTTCTTTATTATTTGATTGCAGTACCATGAAATACTAACCCAATACACCCTGAACCCGCTCTGGGACCCCACGTCCTGCCCCCTTCTGCTGGTTTGGGTGTTGTATTGCATATTTACGTGGAAAGTTTCACGCACACTCAAGTCGTCATTTTTGAAACGCATTGGTGTTGCGTAGGTTTGCCTTGTGACTGGCACAGACAAGTGATCTACTGCGGCCGAGCCTAAGCAGCTCTTAGGCCTGCGGCCGCAGCAGCGATGCACACATCTGGGATGCAGCACCTTCATCAGCGTGCCCACCCCACCAGGGGGTCCGCCGGCGCCCGCAGGGCAGCGGTGCAGGTCCGTGCGGCCGTGGCCACAGCCCAGAAGAGCCTGACTTTCAAGAAGTATCAGGGGCTCGGCAACGACTTCATCCTGGTGAGTGCGAATTCCATGGCGGGCTGCGCGCCACGGCGCTGCGGCGGCCGCAGGGATGCCTTGCGCACTTGCTGTTGCATTTGGCAGGGCGCCAAGCCCTGTTCGCAAAACGCCTCGCGCTGCACACTTCTTCAATGTCCTGTGCACAGCGGCAGGCGCACGTCCCGGCGGCGACCGCCTGCAGCTGCCGCGGCAGTGCCGCCGCCTTCGCCCATTCACCTTCCTGCGCCGCCCCGTCCCCCACCCCACCCCACCCCCACAGGTCGACAACCGCGGCAGCCCCGACCCCATCCTCACCCCGGAGCAGGCCGCCCGCCTCTGCGACCGCAACTTTGGCATCGGCGGCGATGGCGTGATCTTCGCACTGCCGCCCGTCGGCGACACCGACCTCGCAATGCGCATCTACAACTCAGACGGCTCTGAGCCCGAGATGTGCGGCAACGGCATCCGCTGCCTGGCGCGCTTCGTGGCGGACGTGGATGGCGCGACCTCCAAAAAGTACCGCATCCACACGCTGGCGGGTGCGTGCTGCCAGCGGTGGCGTGTCGCGCTCACTCGCACGCCGGCTCTGCCTGTCCCACCC